CAGGGGAAAACCCCCGGGGGCAGCCCCAGGACCCAGCCACAACCCATGCCACCCCCCCAGGTCCCTGCCATGGCCAAGCAAAACCGGGCACTGAAAACACGGAGACGCTTATAACGTGATGGAGCCATTACCATGGGAGAAGCCCCAAATCCATGGCCACTGGGTGGGTGTCCTGGGGCACCACAGGGCCCTGGTCCTGCCAGTGCTTCAGGGAATGCTCCAGGGAATGTTCCAGGTGCTCCAGGGAACGCTCCAGGTGCTCCAGGGAATGCTCCAGGTGCTCCAGGAAATGCTCCAGGTGCTCCAGGAAATGCTGCAGGTGCTCCAGGGAATGGCCCCTGTCCTGCTGGTCCTCCAGGATGCGGCCCTGGCGCTCCGGGATACGCTCCCGGTGCTCCAGGATAGGTCCCCGGAGCGCCGGGGTACGCCGGGAAGCCCCCGGGAGCCGGCGGCTGGTTCCCCCAGCAGGGCCAGCCCTGGGGCTGGGGGGCAGAGGGGTTCGGGTTGGTGCTGGTGGGCAGAGCGTCGGATAACTGGGGACAGAGGGGAGAGCAGGACGGTTAGGTTAGGTGGGTGACGTTAATGCTGGGGTCAGGTTGAGGCCCCCAACACCCAGCTTTTGTCACCTACAGCGGGCGGGGTGAGGGCCCAGGCTGAGGTTCCCAGTAAATACCAGTAAACACCAATGTAACTGGATCGGATTTGGGGAGTCGCGCAGGCTAGCGAAGCCATGTTCCCAGCCCTGCCAAAGGTCCCCGCTTCAAGGCAAGGCAACAATGAGAGCCCCACAGGTTATTCGAAAGAAATCCATACTTACGGAGAAACCGCCTGACATTTTTCCTAAAAGAAAAAAGACAAAAGGACGCGTCAGTCGCTTTGAACACACGCCAGCCAAAAACCAGACATGTCTGAGAAGAGCTACAGTTTGAAGCAGCAACAGGCTGGCCTCGGGCTGCATCACGGGAGGTTCGGGTTGGATATTGGGAATAATTTCTTCGCTGAAAGAGCGGTCAGGCATTGGACCAGGCTGCCCAGGGCAGTGGTGGAGTCCCCATCCCTGGAGGGGTTCAGAAACCGTGTGGATGTGGCACTTGGGGACGTGGTTTAGCAGGCACGGTGGTGTTGGGGTGACGGTTGGACTTGGTGATCTCAGAGGGCTTTTCCAACCTGAGTGATCCGTGATTCCGTGATCGGTACGTCCCTGTTGCGTACCTACCAGGCAGAGCCGACAGCGCCGGTACCGCAGAACGAACCCTCGCCTGATCCCTGCGGGAGAAATCCAGGATCACCACCACGAGCAGCCTGACCGGCTGCGGGGCTGAATCCAGCCCGACCACCCTCCAGACGAAATCGCCGCCGACGCTGACGCGACGCCATCGTTGAGCTTACAACACTGCTGGAGTCGAGTGGAGATGGGGGACCGGGCCGCGGGGACCCGGTGCTGCTCTGCCCCGGGAGTTCTCGTGTCCCTCCAGCCTCTCCACAGGTTTGCACCGGGTTTTTGCTCCCAGGGAAGCACTGCGCAGCATCACAGACCTCGTATGGAGACCTTGTCATGGAGACCTTCTTGTGGCCTCCCAGTGCTTAAAGGGGCTTACAAGAAAGATGGGGACAACCTTTTTAGCAGCGTCTGTTACGATAGGACAAGGGGTGATGGTTTTAAACTGAGAGAGGGGAGATTCAGACTGGATAGAGGGAAGAAATTCTTTAAGATGAGGGTGGTGAGGCCCTGGCCCAGGTTGCCCAGAGAGGCGGTCGATGCCCCATCCCTGGAAACCTTCACGGCCAGGTTGGACGGGTCGTGGAGCACACTGATCCAGGTGAAGATGTCCCTGCTCACTGCAGGGAGTTGGGCTCCATGGCCTTGGAAGGTCCCTCCCAACCCAAACTATTCCCTGATTCCATGATTCCAAACCACGGAGCAGCCTCCTCCTCCGTGACCCACAGGTCGGTGTGGAGCTCTGCATCTGATCTACCCACAACCCGCCCGGGCCGGGTCTGCTGCGCTCCCGGGTCAGGGGGAGCCATCCCAACCTCCAAACACTTTTCATGCAGGAAGAAACCCCCAAGGGCCGTGCCCTGAGCAGGGCTTTCTGCCTCTGGCAAAGCCACCCCGCAGGCAGCCCCTCGCTGTCACCCCCAGGGGGGTGACGGCAGCACTGGGGGGGACACGGCCACCCCCCTGCCCTGGGTGTTGGCGCGGGGCTCCGGGTGACACCCGCACCCAGGCGGGGGGAGGCCTGGGAAGGTGAGAGGAGGGTGGGCACCCATGGGTGGGGGTCCCCTTGGCCCCCCAACCCATCCCCGGGGGGGACAGCAGGTAAAAGCTGCTTTACGAGGCCACGGCGAGCGGCTCTGCGGTGGCAGGGCCAGACTCCTGCCTGCCTGCGGGAACAGCCGAGGCCCTGGGCTGGGTTCCTCCCATCAAAGAGGGCATTCATAAAAGAGGGGAAAAAAAACAAAAAGGAGAAGAAAAAAAAAAAAAGAGGAGAAGCAGAAACGGGGAAAGAGAAGGAAAATTCCAAATTGAAAACAGAGAAGGAAAATGCTCTTTTTAAAGCAATATTCGCACAAAGGTCACGGCAAACCCGGCTCGGCAGCCTCAGGGCTGACAAAACCCCAACTTCTCACGACCGGCAGCGGTTTTCACAACCGCCTTCCCCGCAGAACAC